TTTTTTTTTTTTTTTTTTTGGGGGGGGGGGGGGCGGCGGCGGCAGTGGTTGCAGAGAGCCTGCCAAATTTGGAATCCTGTCATTCTTCATGGTTTCTACACAAATTGCTTAATCGCAAATTTAGTAGGTCCCTTATATTTAGATCAGTGGTTCTCATCTGGGTACTGTGGCATTCTTGAGTGCTGTAAGGTTGCTGTAGGGGTGCTGTGGAAGTATCCTAGTAAAACTGCCTTCCAGGCTCCCCCTGCATTATGGCTCTCTTGTGCTACATAGCACTTCCTCATCTGGCACTCCCTACGCTCCTCCCAGAAACAGGGGCAAGTGGAAGCAGACAGGTAAGTTCTGTTTCCCAAAGTGTAGGGGGTGCTGGACTAGGTAGGGTTACACAAGGCAGCTGTTGCCTACTTTAGGCTGAACAGAGAGCCCTAATGCAGGGGGAGCATGTACACATGGCTTAGCCATTTACAGGCAGGCAGAGCAGTTTCACCTGGAGGCTGCATAACTGCGCTGAGCACCAAGGTAAGCTGAGGCAGCACCGACAGGGGTTCTCAGCTAGGGAAGGCCTCCACATTCAAAGTGGAGGTGGGTGTCATGACCCTGAATAGGTTGAGAATCCCTGACTTAGACTATAACCTCTTTAGAGCAGCAACCATCTTTTTGTTCTGCTGGCACAGCACCTACCACAACACAAGCCCTAATCATGGACCAGGACCATAAGTGCTACAATAATGGTAGCTAGAAACAAAATCTGTCTTTAAATAAGAACAAGTCTGATAAGGTAATCACCAAGACCAAACTTCTGCAGTCTATTTGGACTTAGTCGCTTTCATCTTGTAAGACTGAAGCTCAGTCTGCACCTAACCACAATTTTTAAGAGTCAAGGGGAGGAACAGGTATCATCTGGTTAAAGATTAAATTTTAAAAATTCACTCATTTGCATGGTTGCATTAGCAAGTTTCAAAATCCCATTCCAACACACCTTTCTCTCTCACCCATCTTGGCTGTTTTGGAGTTGTGTGTTCATTTTTCGAGACCCATTAATGCTTCCCCATGCTTGGGATGAAGTGTTCCAATTATTTCAAAGAAAGAAAATCTTTTAAGACACCTATCACCAACTCCTTAACCTCCTTTAACACCATCAAACTGAGAACAAGTATTCCAAACACAACCTGGCTAATGGAAAAACACCCCAGCTTGGTTAATGCACACAATAGCTAGCTTAAGTCTTAAACACCTACTTCGTTAGCTTCCTCTGCTTATACTTTTTGATATACCTCTTGCCATTGCCCTTTTTCAATGCTTTCTATAATACTGCATGGAACATAGTTCTTTGTCAGCAGCACCTGCAAAAACATGAGTGTATACTTGTCAGGCCACAATTTATTTCTCTTTCTGTCAAAGTGGACAACATTACCTATTTTGAATGTTACAGCAAACAGAGCCACTTCAGTTGCTGCCACTGAAGAAATGCAACAAATTGGTTTAATGGCATATGGTCGCAATCCTCCCATAACCAATAGAGGCTTTCAAAATGGAGTCACGCACTGTTACATACATCTAGACCAGAACACAGATCTGTTCTAAAACCACAATCAGCAGGGTCAGAAGCTACTGAAGTAATCCTAAAGATTTATCCACAATGCAACCTTCAAGTAACAAAGCTTTGAAGCAACCTCTTATAAAAATCTGGTTAAGGCTTTGGGTGTGTACACAGGAGGGGAGAAGAGAAGTTTATTTGTTAGGTAATTATTTTGTAAAGAAAGCGCTGCTGCTCAGAGTGCCAGCCTGATAGCCAACATTGTTACTTTGGATGATCACTACCACAAAGAACTACAATGTGCTAAATCAATATACATACAAAAGAAGAACATGTATACAAAGCTGTTCAGAAGCAAATTACCCAAGATATAAAACCATCCTTCCTGAATCCAAATATTTATTTTTCACATTTAACTTGGAATACCAACATATTTGGGAGACCGAGATGTCGTCTCCTAAACATTAATTTTGAATACCATAGTTATTCACATAGCACACACACCATGAACCCAGACAATCAGCCCTCCAAAACTGGGGTGCATGTTTTAAGCACGGACGCTGGCTTTCTTCACCAGAAGGTAAGCATGAAGATGATGTGTTGAAAACTGGCTGCCAACTTCTCCGCAAGGAGGCAAAGCCCAAAGTTAACCCCTTCATAGCAGCTCAGCTTGCTAGCTGAGAAAGAACCAGGCAGCCATTTTGCAACAGTCTCTCCATGGAAAAGGAAGGTTAGGCCATGACTTCTTCCTATATTTGGGTTCTAAAAAAAACAAAACCAAAAAAAATAAAATAAATAAATTAAAAAAAAATCAAGGCCCATGTCTTGTTTGGGTGACATGCAGTATGCGAGAAAACACATGCTTTTTTATTTTATTTCAACAGCAATCAAACTGAAAACCTGTAAGATACTTGAATTAAATGCTTGTGATCAAAGCAACTAAGCTTAATGATAATGGGGAAAAAACCTAGGAAAGCTTAAATTTCCAAATACCAGCGTTGTCTCTTAAAACATCAGACTTCTGATGCTGCAAAAGTTATCACAGTCAGAACCTTATTAAAATATATGAAACATTCAAAAGCTGAACAAGCAGATGAAACTA